CTCTCTCGATCAGCTGTTTCGGTGGCATGTTAGGCTCAGCGTCTCTCTCTCTCTCTCTCTCTCGATCAGCTGTTTCGGCGGCATGTTAGGCTCAGCGTCTCTCTCTCTCTCTCTCTCTCTCTCTCGATCGATCGATCGACTGTTCTCTCTCCCGGATTGTTATGTTCATCGTCATCTTCTTCTTGTCGCTATTGCCTGCACGCGCGGGCTCGTCTCCTCTGTGTGTATTTTCCGCCCTTCGCTTCCTGCTCTTGCGCTCTGCTACTGTTACATCTTCGACTCACACGGGTCCTACCGGACCCGACTTAGGGCCGGAGGGACACACCAGGGCCAAAAGGCCCGACCTTTGGGGTTACAGGCCCTAAAGGCCTGATTTTGGACMAKCACCCATCGGGTAGGCCCAAACGACACTTCGTTTGGGCCTGGCGGCGCTCTTGAAGCTGCCGCCCGCCGATTGAGGCTGAACCGTCCATCTGGACGGTCCAGGGTCTGGCCTGGCCTCGCAGCATTGAGGCCAGACCATTGCCCACCGGTATAAGTACCGGTATCCGCCTCAGTAGGGGGATCGGCCTACTGGAACTCTACCGGCACGGCATGGTCAGTGCTAGTGCACTGTTTTGAAGCGCTAAACTTAGCGCAGGGGCTGAAGCAGGAGCGCAGCATAGCGCAGCAGCGAGCGGAGCAGCAGCGGGCAACTGAGCTTGCACGGCGGTTATCACCGCCTGAGGTATCGGGAGCTTGGAGGGTCTCTCCTCCTCTCCCTCGCCAGTCCCCTCTCTCTCTCTCTCCTCTTCCTCCTTCTTCTTCTTCTTCTTCAGATTGGAGACTATCCAGTTGGACAGAGATCATAGTTGGATTTCGGTGATACGAGACTGTGGTACTTACCTGATTGGAGACTTGGAGATTGTTGAGGTTGATACTCGGCTGCATCACAGTTGGACACCGGTTACATCTGGACTCTGTTATCTCCGACATTGGTGACCTTTGGTCCTCGACATTCTGATCTTGTTATATGACATTCTGGACTACCATTTCGGAGACCTATCAGACTCTATCTTTGTGACCTATCGGTGTGATCTACCTCCTACCTCCTTTGTCTCTCCTCCCACCTTTCATCTGTGTATGTGTGTACGGGATCTGGGTATCGTCTATGAATGACCCAGACCCCACCATCTCATGATTGTATGTGTGTGGAGTGATGCCATGTAGGTCAGTCTATGTGAGTCAGCTCGTTTATCAGACTTCCGCTGCATAAATGCTCATCCTATATTGGTTGATCTTTGGTTCTGCCCATACTCATTGAAGTATGCAACAG